ATTTTCAAAAAAAGGGATGGATCTTGAGTCTATATTAAGTGAAATTAGCAAGACACAGAAAGTTAAATACCACATGATTTCTCTCAATTATTCTCATAAATTAAGAACACAACAAAAAAGAGTTTGTAGGAACAAGGAGGCAGAACTTCTGGGGATAGTGAAAGAGTCTAGGAGAAGGAAGGATGGGGGGATCAAGAATGATCAAGAAGGGGCCTACCAAATAGCTCAGCAGATTAAAGAGCCTGCTTAGGCAGATGGAGGGGCCAGGAGTTCGATCCCCAGGCCTGCTGTGCCTGCCCTACCCCTAGTGTGTGCAGCGATGGCGATTGAGACTGGGTGTGGTGGCGTGTGCCTGTAATCCCATTTCTTGGGAGGCTGAAAACAGGAGAATCAGTACAAGTCCAATCTATGCAGTGAGACCCTGTAGACACTGTCCTAAAAAAAAAAAAAAAAAAAAGGCAGGGAGATAGCTCAGTAGAATATGCACATGCTTGGCAAGTGCAAGGTCCTGAGTTCCATCCCTGGTACTACCAAAAAAAAAAAAGAGAGTGAGAATGTGACAATATCTATCCTTATTCCTCAAAATGAATATAATGCAAATAAACATACACACAAAAAGAAATGCTTAAAAAGAATACTGGCAGGGATATCATAGAACACAGTCACTATTAGAACTGGAAAAAGGCTTTCTCAGCTCTGGACAGGAAGGCATCCTTCTACACAATTCATTCACAATCCACAAATATAAATTGTCACCAACTTTATATCAAGTACAAAACAGATCAAAACTGTTCCTAAAATGAGATACTACATTGTAGCTGTCTATGGTGGAGAAATGAGGGAGGGGATCAGTCCTACAGCGGACACACCCCCTTTAAGGGTGCGGGAATAGGCAGTGTCACTGATCAAGATGTCCCCACTTTGGGGACAGGGGCAACCATTGCACCTGCCATTAACTAATGCGGCCTGTGCGAGGTGGCAGGGAAACAGCAGCCTTCCTGTCCTCTAGGGCTGTGTGGGACATAACCAAGGATCTAGATGATTTAATCCAGTTTTAAGAAAGGCACTTTACAGTGAGCAATTATGGCAGTTAAGAAATTAATCACTAATGAGTCATTAACTCTGTCCACTGTTGTATAGTTAACAAGCTGAGGACACATGATTAGAGCCAGTCCCCAATTAAGGGGACATCATTGGTGTACCATGGCCTCCGCCTCCAAAGGGCCCTGCACACTGGCCTCGCTAAGCCGGCCCTGGCCTCCTCAGGTGGGTTTGAACCCAGAGAAGCTGCAGCGACTTGAATTCCACATTATTGCCCCTTAAAATCTTTCCTGTCCTGCTGCAGGTCTGGTTCCCATTCTTGCGGTAAGAATCTGAAAGAGTGCCTGGGAGGGGGAACAAGAAGCCGGTGAACCAGGCTGAAGTGGCGTTAGGAGGCGGGGCGCCATTCCTACCCTCGCTTCCCCTGATTCTACATGATCTGGAGGAGTATGGGGGCCAGGCAGAAATTCTCCCCCAAGCTTAAAAGTATCTTTAACGGAAACGTGGAGGGCGGCTCCAGAGCAGCTGCCACCTCAGGCGGAAGCCGGGCCCTTCCACGGGGCCTCTTCCTGTCCGCCTCCTTCGCCGGCCGCTCGGGTGGGAGCTCGGATCTGCAGGGCAGGATTCAGTTCCGAGAGCAGGGACCAGCTCGGGGCCGCAGCGCAGAATCCAGAGTCCGGAGAGGGGGCTCTGAAGACCGCGCCGGCTGGAGGAGAAACTGAGCAGCGAGCAATCCCCGCAGAAGAGAGAGCTGGCGCTGCGAAGAGACTGCTAAGGAAAGGGAGAAAAACGGAAACCCGCTCGCGCCCCCCAGGCTGGGCGGAGCCGCCGCTCCAGTCCACGCTCCTCAGTGGCTCGCAGTGCAGGGCCTCTTCTGACTCCGCCCTCCTCCCGGAGCCGCCCAATCCGACGCATCCGCCCCGCCCCACCCTGCCCCCGCTCCTGGGGAACCCGGTGCAGTCTCAGGGGGTGGAGCCACAGGGGTACAGTTTGGAGACTCACCTGTTTTCCTCAAGCTGCTGGCGAGAGTCGTTGTAATTCCGGAGCGAGGGGTTTCCTAGCCTTTTCTCCTAGATTGTCTGGAACTTTGTGGACCCGTAACAAGACCTGCTTTGATCTAGATCCCTGCGGTTGGAACTGCGCAGTACCTTTTCCTGAGCTCCATGAGACTATTCCCAGCTGGTTCTTGCTTCCCTTTGGTAGATATTTGGCGTCACCCGAGCCAAATCTGCTACCTCATTACGGAAGAGTCAAAAACTAGTGGACGTGATTCTTGGGACAGTGATTAAGCTTGTCCGAGAAGGCTTTTCCTCCGGCTTACTGAGAGCTGTGTGGCTGCCCCACACCAGAGCTAGCAATCTAGCAGGGGGAGCCCTTGGCCTACCTAGGGCTCAGAGCCTCATCGACACACATGGTGGGAGCAGCAGCACCGCATGTTTCAGAGCTGCCGGTTCCTTCTTCGCAAGCAGTTCTCCTCACAGCCTGAGTCTACAGAATCCCACTCTGCCAGCTCCCTTCCCACCAGCTCCCGTTCCTGGGGCCATCAGTGAATCTCCAATCCTTGGAACTGCGGGACTGGACAGGGATGGGTGCATCCAAATCGTCCCAGGAAAGTATGCACAGGCAGCACTTCCACCTCCAGTCCCAATTCCCAGTAGGGCCTGAGGGGCCCTCCTTAGGAATCGAGATAAGGAGAACCCAAGGCTTCTCGCTGCTGGTTTTCTGTACATCTTTCTGTATACATTTGTCCTACCACTCCATCCTCTTTGGCAGAACCGGAGATTGAACTCAGGCCCTTGTGCTTGCCAGGGAAGCACTTATTCCACTGAGCCATCTCCCCAGCCCCCTCTTCTTTAATTTTATCTGCAAATGGATGCTCTTCTAAGCCATATGTCTAGGCAAAAACTGTGTGCCTCATTTGAATTTCAAAGACAAGTCCTTGGAAAGCGGTCATAAAATGCTAAAACTACTGATCATTGAACGCTCAGTATGTGCAAAGACTCTTGTAAGAGGTTCACACTTGCTGAGTTAAGCCTCATAACAGCCCTAGTAGGAAGATATAATTGTTCTGATTTTATAAACTAGGAAGCTTAAGGCTGAGAGAGTTTGCCTCAGTTTACACTGTAAATGTAGGAGCTGGAAGAACCAGAAGCACCAAGCAGTTCATGCTCAGGAAATGTTGCTAAGTAAAGAAAAGAGAGAAGGGATTAGCAGAGAGCAGACAGGATGGATCTTAATGGAAATGATTTGGGAACTGTGCAAGTTGCTGGTGGTGGGACAGGGAAGGCCACAGGAGCCCAGGGCTGTGCTAAGAGGCAGAAGGGCTGAGCATGAGTGCTTACCTGGGCAGTGCATTTAGGAGTTCCCAGAGACATGATCCCTCTTAGAAGGGGGACACTGAAGGATGAAATAAAAGATGGACGAGCAAAGTGGGAGAAATTTGCATATATTTTCACCCTATGTTTGTTTTTCTTGCTAAGGGGAGGGGGGTTTCACTTGGGCCAATTCATTCTCTCCAGAGACTGTCTTGTGAGGGAAAGTACAGATATTATGCTCTACCTCTTAGGACAAATAACCTGTTCAATAAATTCTCACTGACCACCTACTCTTCAGGGCAGCCAGCCTTGGCTACATGGTAGCCTCTTAGGACCCAAAGGACAAGGGCTAGATTCGGGAAGACAATCCTGCTACTCCCAGCCCTGGGATAAGCATCCATTTCCCAAATAAGTTTTAGGAACTGGCGATATTGCTAAGGTTCCAAGATTAATGTGCATTGCTTTTTGTCGGGTCCTCAGCTGTTTACACAAAACTTCAGGTGATCTTATTGCATCCATCTCGCCTATATCAAGCATGGTCTATTCAGGAAAGGGAGCTAGAGAGCATCAGTATTACGTTAACAGACAGCATTCCGTGTTAAGGCTTCAGCCACAACCCTATGGGGTTCCACACTCCGGGTGAAAAGGGTCGGTGCTCAGCTTCAGGATCAAGGGCAGATACAATGGTATCGAGGCACAAATCCTAGACTTCGCTGGACCTCTAGGGTGTCTGAAAGCCGCCTGATACTCTCAAATTTCTTTCCTACACCAACGCCACGTTCCCCACCCGCAGCTGGCAAATGTGGACACTGAGGGCTAGGCGACCTGAGGCTGGACGCAGAGACTTAGGACACTCGAACGCCACGGGTAGCAGATGCACGGATACCAGACCTCTAGATGGGAAGAGGGGTGTGAGTTGGGAGACATGGAGAAGTTGAGAGTTCAGAGTCTTCCTGCCTCTGTCCTCAGAGAACTAAGGTCATCAAGTCTAGCTAACGAGTCCAGTGACCAACTGGGGCACAGACAGACTTCAAAGAGGGGGGCTGAGTCTTTAACTACCTTGGGATGTTCAGGCGTTTGGACCCCACACGCCCCCAATTCTCACACTAGGGAATGGTGAGACCATGTAGCAGAACGGGGACTGTGCTCCGCTGCGGCAAAGTGTACCCAGGATTTGCAGCACGAGGGACCTCCGAGCTCCCACTTCTCTTAATTCTGATTCACTCTGTCCACCACCGCACCCCGGTACCCCCACTTTTACTTCTGCAAAGCAGCCTTGAGAGCGCTTAGCCGCAATCAAATCCAAACAAGCAAATATTTAATTCTCCTTCCAATTACTTCGAAACTACTTCAACAGTTTCTCAAACTCTATTTTTCTGATTCCTCTTCCACGGGAAATGCCAAGGTCGGAAGCCCAGGCAACCTTGGGTCTGGAGGGCGCCCACGGGGACGGGGAAAGGTATCCCCTTCGGCTAGGGTCCGTGGTGGTGGCCTGGGGCCTTCCGCGAGCCTGAGGCTTGGCCTTGTGCCTTGTGTCTGGGGCAGCTGAGTCCTGCCGTGCAGGCAGGTGCGGAGAGCGGCCGAGGGAGAGAGGTGCGGCCCGGTGCGCTGGGGTTCCCCAACGCCCCTCAGCTCCCCGGGGCCCTAGAGGGCCTGCCACGGCTTTCCGATGGCCTGGATGTGTTCCTTGGCCTTCAGGCGCAGCGCCGCGATGCTGCTGTTGCGCGGGTCCGCCTCGTCCAGCGGGAACTTGTCCCCGAAGCCTGGGCCGCACGGGTAGGCGGGCGGCGGCGGCCCGAGCGGCTGCAGGCCTGGGCCCAGCGGCGGGGAGTTCAGGAAGGGCGGCGGCGGCGGCGTATAGCTGGCGGGCAGGCTCTGCGCCGGCGGCCCGAAGCCCGGCAAGCTCTGCAGCGCCGTAGCGCCCCCGCCGGGCAGTGGCGGCCCGAGCCAGGACTCCAGCGGCAGGGCGCCTCCGGGAGGCCCGCCACCACCTCCCGGGCCCGCCCCGAGGGGCGCTAAGGCGGTGGAGGGCGGGGAGCGACTGAAGGAGAGGAGGGGCGAGTCCTGCAGCTTCATGGACGACACCTCCAGCTTCTCCTGGCGCCGCCACTTGGCCCGGCGGTTCTGGAACCACACCTGCGGGGAAGCACAGCGGCCGTCGGGTCCCTGCGCGCGGCAGCCCGGCCACCTCGACTCCGCACGTAACCCTGAAAAGTAACCCCGCCACACTTCCGCGACGGGTGATGGGCTTGGGCTTCCTTTTCCTAACTCCCTCCGGCTGCTCTCGGCGCAGTCTGTCTTCCACCCCGTTTCTTTTCTCATCCATTCACTCCTTGCTAGCCTGCCCCAGTCGCTTTGTCCCACCGTCTCCCCGGTTTCTCTCACCCTAGGCTACTGTACGCGTTTCCACCTCCTGACAGGAGCAAGTGCTTAGGAAAAAGTGAATTTAGCTCTGCAATCAGACCATAGGACCTTCAAACCAGCGACTGGTTCGTTGGCAGCTCCTCCTGACCCTTCAGCCCTATTCCTTCCTTTGTGGCACAGGTCTACCCTTTTTCCTCTATCATAGACATATGTATAAAGATAGACAACATCGCACGTTAAAATACAGCTATTTTCAGGGATCATTGGTTATAATAGCTAGATGGAAATAAATGGGCTTATTTTGCCATATACATATTTTCAGTTGCTGATTAATAGGTTGTTTATCTTACTTAATTGATATCGGTTCAGTATTTATGATATGATATGGCCTATAAGTTACTTTCAAAGACTACCATCCTTTGGGTTGTTATACTTATTGGACTTTGTGGAGTTAGTTTTGACGTTATTCTCAAATGTCAGCTCAATGATAATGCAAGGGACTTTTCTTCACATAGAGTCCTTGCCAAGACTTTACTGGTGGCTTCCACTGAATCTTCCACTACTGCTTTGATAAACTGCCAGAAGGGTGTAAGAAATGTTTCACCACCATGTTCCACTTTTACAAACAGGACAGAAGGAACTGGCTTAGATTACTTGAGAACATAAAAGAATTTTGGCAAATCTGGTGGCTTCCATGTTACATGTATGAAAGGACAGGGTGAGGGTAGTTGTAATCCCAGAAGGGAGAAATTAGTTTTGTGTCAGTAAGGGGGGGGGGGCATGTGACTGTGTAGGGTAAGTGAGAAAACAGTAATCCAGAACCAGAGCAGAGCAACACAGGCATGTGTGAGGAGAAAAATGGGAGCATTTGGGAGAAAGAGAACAAAAGTATTCTTCTCCCTTTCCCACAAAAAAAGTTTATCTGCATAACCAAGACCTCAAGACCCCAAGCCACCAGAACAGACTTAGCTGTATCTGATGGTAGAAAAGGAAGAAAAAGAGAAGGGAGATGAGTGTGGGCTCCTATCGCTTGAGCATTTCTGCCTTTCTCTTTGGTCTTCAGCTCCTTCCGCTCTAGCCCTAAGATCCAGTATCCAAGGTCTCAGGGCTGAAGCTGGAGACAGTTGGCTGCTAGACCACTGTCCTGCTGCCCTGGTGGAGGACACCCCAACCAGGTCCCTCACAGCATGATACTCAGGTGTTAAGTGCAGCTGCTGCTGAGCACCTTGCTGTCCCTGTGGTTGCTGAGCAGTCACAGGCACTGTTCTGTGGAGTTTCCCAGTTTAGAGGTGAAGCCAAACCCCTGATTAAATAAAGAGGTTGAAGCAAAGTAGATCTGGTAGGATCTCCGGTAGGAAGGGGGCCTGCATCCCATAGGGCATTGCAAGTCTCTTTGCCTTGCTTTTTTTTTTCATCTTTCTCTTGTATTTTTCCCTCTTTCTCTCCTTCCTCCTTCCCTGGAAAGCAGGTGCTAAAGTTTTTCCTTCTTCAGTGAAATCATTTGTCACTTTACTGCTTTGAATTTGGAGAAATGAACTCTCTTCACTAGTTAGTCTCAAGTCACATCAAGGAACTATTTTTTAAAACCATGATTTTCACCCATTGCTTTCAACCCTTAACCTAGGCAGAAGAGACAAAAGGCAAGAGCTTGCCCCTTTTTCCTTTAAGTCACAGCTAAATATCCCCAAATACCTAAGTTTCTTAGTTTCCTGGAAACCTAATTTATTAGACACACACAAAAATCCCATTTGAGTTCCACTGTCTTTCAGATGCACTGAAATGTGTTCCCACTGTCTCCTTTCAGTCCCCTGTAAACTCTCCCAATTTGGAAATCCTCCCAGATTTTTCACAGATGACTAGCAAATATTTAAGGCTTTCAAATATTTTAATGATCAGGGATTAAAGATAATTCAGCTTTAATTAAAGTGAAAACCCCTTTACAATAAAAAGAAAAGGCCTCTGCACCGCGAAATTTGGTTGGATGGAAACCAGGGAAAGAAAAGTTAGTTTCTTAAATAAATCCATGAAGAGTTTCAATTGCCAGGGGCCAAGCCCCTGGCCTTTGACTGGGCTTTCTTTTTCAGTACTGTGTGGAGCTAGTGATACAGGTGTTGGTCTGGTCCCCCAGCCCACTGACCCTCCAGACACTGCCTAAATTCCCTTTCCGCTCAGCACACCCTTCAAGGACTATAAACTCCGCCAGACTCTCCACAGGATGCTGAGTGGGGCAAGTCTGTGACGCTCCAAGGGAAAAGATCTTAGCGCTCCTCTGGGGTTGTGCTTGCCCCAACCCAGATAGGACCCTTGGAGATTCAGGGACGCCCACGGATTCAGAAGAGCCCTGACTGAAGGCCTCGGGCACTCACGTTCCCTTCCTTCCAGCCGGGCGCTTTACCTGTACCCGGACTTCGGGTAAGTTGACTTTGCCGGCCAGCTCCTCGCGGCTGTACACGTCGGGATAGTGGGACTTCTCGAACGCGCGCTCCAGCTCGTGCAGCTGGTACGTGGTGAAAGTCGTGCGGTTCCTCCGGTGCTTCTTCTTGGGCTGTTCCTCCTCCGACAGCTTAGCGTCGCCGGGAGCTGGCCCGACAGAGAGTCCTGGGCTCGGACGTGCCTCTCCGGAATCCTTGGGGCAATAGGGGCGAGAGGCTGGGGCGACGAGGCCCCACAGGGTCAGATCTGGGCCCACTCTGTCACCCTACAGTCCCTGACCAGCGCCCCTGAGGCTCAGAGTTGGCCTTGGGGGGGGGGTGAGGGTCAGGACTGGAAGCCACAAGGTGGTCCCAAGCTTTCTCTGTACCTAAGCTGGGAGCTCCCCCCATAGACGGTGTCCCCAAACCCTGTGCCCGGTTGCCTTAGTAAAAAGTGAAAGAGAGGAGCGCTACTCTTGCGGGACACCCCGAGGGCCTCCCAGCAGTGAAGAGCGCGCACTCACCTTCGTACTCCGGGACTGGCGCTGGCGCTGGAGGGGGCGAGCTCTCGTCGCTTTCCCCGGGGGCCTTGGGGCAGGTGGGCCGCGCGCCCAGCCTTCTGTCCCTCTCTTTCGCAGCCCTGGCGCCGCGTTCCCCTGGGAAGGTGCCGAGGATCCCGTCGTCCTTAGTAAACCCCAGGATGGCCTCGATGCTGTGCAGCCGTGAGCTGCTCCCCCCTGGACTGCGGAGCAAGTGGCCGGCGAGCGAGAAGCTCCCCTCGGCCATGGCGGGTGCACAGCCGGGCAGGTGCATGGGGAGCGTCAGCAGGTGGGCGGGAGCTTTGAGCTATCAGAGTCTCGAACCCGGTCTTCCCAAGTATACGTCAAGGTAGTCGGACTTCTCGAAAAGGCACAACTACACAGGTTCTACACAAGGTCAAGATCCGGAGCAACCCCGCCAGGCTTCGGGCGCTGGAGGTGGGCGAGCGCTCGGCCCACGCTGCTCTGTCCCCGCTGGAGGTGTAAATTCTGCAGAGCAGCTGCTGTGCTGGGCCCTCGGGTGCGGGGCTTCTCCTTGCTCAACCCGGACCCATCCCCTTTTCTAAGCTCCTCCTCAGGCAGAGGGGCGGGTCTGTCTCCCGCCTATCCTCGGGGTCCTAGCCCTGCCACCCCGAGGCTAGCAATGCGGGCATCCTAGTCCCACCTCTAGATCCGTTTTAAACCCACCCCGAGCTCAAGTCTCCCCCCTCTTTCTCACTCAAGGGGACTCCTTTCTGTTCTCCCTGGCCGGACTCTAGACTGCGGGTTTCTTTTTAATCTGTCTAAATCTGTTTTAACTTCCCCCTGTGCCCTCGGACTTGTGCGCAGACAGCCGCCTTCAGTACAGCACGACCCTCAAGAGGAGGTGGGTCCATCTGCGCCTTTGGGAATAAATGAGCTCAAGAGCTGGGGCTCCGAAGTGCTGCGGGACCCAGGCCCTGCCTCCTGAGGACTGTCCCGCTGGAAGCACAGGGTCAGTCACAGGGTGGAAGACGTCTCCTACCCCCTCCTCTAACACTTCCCCAGGCCTAGGAGATGACCCAAAGCTGACGGGGAGACCTCTGGGCAGAAGGCCTCACACTTCCCCCTAGTTACAGCATAATCCGCTTGCGTTTCTCCCCCCAAGGGGGAGAGAAGCCTTGAGGCTTCTGTGACCCAGAGGACTGAAAGGCTGAGCAGAAAGATGATTTGCGCGGGCAAGCGCGTTTTTTCACATCCTGTCATGCTGATGGACCGTGGCACTGTGACCATGGCACCCCTCAAGTCCGAGGCCAAGATCCGATCTGAAGAGAACGCCCAGCCTCCTGTGAACTGTGAGCTGGGAATGTAAATTAAAATGTTTTCTTTTGGTAGGCGCAGGATCTCCACTCAAGTGGACTCTTCTTTATCCCCACTTTTTGTTTCTTCCAGTCTACATCCAGCCTAGGGTCAGCCCATCACTTCTGTTTGCTTAGTATTTTCCTGGGAGAGGTGGTGGGCAGTGCACAATAAAGGAAAGACCAGTGAGTTGGCCTTGAGGTGATGAACAAACATCCAGTCCCTGAGGCAAGATGAAGGAATAACAGGGAAACATGCCTCCTCCGATATGGGGCTACAAGGGGGCAGTTCATCACACTAAGAACTCTTTTTAAATAAAATTATTAAAAGCAAACTTTGTGCAGAGTATCGAAATTGAGTTACTTAGATCAAAATATTCAACTTGAAGCAAAAGCTAGGCTAATGCAAATTAAACACACCCTACAGTTTTCAGAGTCTCAGCTTTGTGAGGTGAACAGGTTATCTGTTGATTCCCATTTACTAGAAGAAGAAACTAAGGCTCAAAATACAACCATTAGGAAGTAAAGAAGACATGACCACAACACAGAACAGCAGTCTCCTTATCAGCACGTTCTGGCTCAGTAGTAATTGCTATTGTAGAGTGTGATGCTTTTGGAAAGAAGCAGAGCATAATGGTACGCAGTAGCCTGTAATTCCTTGAAGTCCTTCCTTGAGGGGCCCCTGCATTCTACATGGAAGTGGTGGCTGCAGAGCAGCTCTCCCTTGAAGAGCACGTAGAGAGCAGCCTCGGGGCATGCTGTCTGAGTAGGCTTGCAAACCCTGCAGGGTCTCCCTCAAAAACCAGATGATACCTGCCTTTTCTGGGCTGCTCAGTGCGCTGTCCAGGGCACTGCAGCTGCAAATGGCTGGGGGACGCTGGGAAGACTTTAATGCCAGTTGCATGGACCAGGTGATTAGAGGAGCTGAGGTGACCAGAGGCAGCTGGAGGGATAATTAATTGCTATTTGTTGTTTCCTCTCTGAGAACACTTTCTATGTTAACTTCCCCAATATTAAACTGATCTCTATAATCATCACTAGAAAAAGATTTGCAACGTTTTCTTAAGCTCTTACCCACACAATGCTAAGGAGTTTATGGCCTTGTTTGCAAAGTTAATTCCTCTGGAACTGCCTAGCTCTCTCCTTAATAGGTCCAGGTGAGGTGAACTTTTATTTACTGTTTATTTCAGGGCCTCAGAAGAAAAGCAGAAAAGACTCCAACAGCCAGTGAGGGCCAGCCAGGCAGAGGAGAACAGGGGGAGCTTTTGTGCAGGACATAAAGAGCCAGTCAATACCATTGTGGGCACGGTGGAGGGTACTCCAAGCAATCAGCCGGGGGTCATTGTTAGGGGCTAATTTACATGTGTATTTCCCAAGAACTCGATTAGGGAAGATGAATGGAGTGGGCCATGTCCCTAATTCTTCCAGCTCCAAGCTGCATTTTTCCAGCAGTTATGCCAATTGATAATCAGCCCTGCTTCTACAAAGTAGGGAGCCTGGCTTCTGAACTCCACCTCTGTTTAATTCATTAATTCATTAGATGGATCAAAGAGAACTCCCACCTCCTAGCACCTCCCCCCCCCTCAGCTAACCTTCACCACAGACAGAGCCCCATTAAACTTGGCATAGTTAAGAGACACATTTCCAGAAGTGCAGAAGTACTATAGGGTGATTCTGTTACCTTGGATAGAGGCAAGATGTCCAATTTCTGGAAGTATTGTAGAGGAGCTGTTTATTCCACCACATTTTTAGGGAAAATGAACATCTGTAGATCAGTCAGGGAGAAGGAAGCTGCCAATGGATCAATGCCAATTGGCCACAATCTCTAGTTATGTTATCTCTTAGTAGTTTTATGTTTGGGTAAAAACAATATCTACTGAGGGCCTCTGGGATGTCACCTCATAGATGTGGGAAACAACTTGATTGTCTGTGTGAAGCTTATCCCTTTAGTAGACAGGCTTTAATCCAGGAACATCCCTTCTTGGGTCACGTCACACTCAAGAACCACCTCCTGGTACTACTATCTGATATGTGCACAGGGAAGATAGCTTAAGTTTAGTTTTAGCTAAAGCAAAACACAATTTATACCATCTATCTATATTTATATATCTTGATTCATATATATATTATATATACTAAAATTTAATAGATTCAATCAATGAGCTAAATGTATGATAAGAGCTACAATTTATTGAATACTAGCAGTTGTGTGCCATCTCTTTTGAGTTCCTTTTATGGCTTATCTAATTGAGATAATCACTTGTCCAAGGTCACACAGCTGATTTCAGTTGGTGCTGAGACTTGAACACGGGGGTTTTATTGCACCCTGCATTGATCCAGCCACCATATGTACCACTTCCCAATGTGGTATGTGTGCACACATGTACCTATTAATTTTCCATCAGCTGTAACTGAGCCATATAAAGAAAGAAAATTCAAGATTCAAGGAATAAGGGAATCATATAATTCACTGTAATGTGGGAGTGAGTTATGAATAGTCTATAATTCACTGTCAGTTGAAACGATGACAAACCTGAAAAGTAACAAGTTAAAGATACCTTTCAACTCTCCAAGAGCATCTTAGGAAGTTTAGGGAATTCTCTCTGTACCCAGAGTTCCCAATTACTTCCATTGGTTCATGAGCGTATATATTAAGCATCTAAATTTAAATATTTGCTGCCTAGCTGCTAACTTTCTTTTGTAGGAATAGAGATGTGGACCCAGAGAAAGTAAGTGATTTTCCAAGATGAGACAGAATGTTTGTGGTCAGGCTTTGTTGGAATTCTCTAGGCGGCCGCTCTGGATTCATAGAACCCACATTCCTCCTTGATCTGAGACTGTCACACACAGATGTCCCATGACCTTGGTTAGGACAAGTCTGTGCATGAGTCCCAGAGGAATCTGTCTGGTGTGCAAACGCAACACAGATATTTCTCACACTACCTCCCCATCCTTTACCAACACAGTTATTTTGGTCCTGAATCTGCTTTCACAGCTGATGCAAGTCCAAGTAGCCTCTGTGTAATTAAAAAAACATTCCTTAGCAATAGATTTGCAGGGCAATTTGGCAAGTGATTGATATTCCTTCCTATTCATTTGTATGTTGGAACCCATTCTGACTGGCTTGTGAGAGCCCATGATTAGCATCTAGTCCAGCTCTGAGGTCAACAACTCATATCAATAGCTTGGAACTAGATGCACTAGTAATATTTTCATCACAGAAACCAGTTAACACTAAAAATCAGGATCCCCCACCATTCATAACTTTAAACACTTGCTACAGTGTTTTTGCTCCCGTCTTCCTAAAGAATGAAGAAATCAGAGAGCGTTTATCAATGCCATTGCTAAAACTGAAATAAATGCATCACAGATTTGCTAAAAACTAGAAACTTACATCATGATTTCAGAATATGTAATAGAGGGAAACTTGGATTTCTGCCAAAGAAATGGACTTTTTTTGAGTTGTTAGAGGAGCAAAGCTATATTAAGATAATGCCTCTTTACTTGTTTTCTAATTAAACTAATTGAATTCAGAGTGTCTGGGGGGAAGCACTAGAGACATTTATCTTGAGGGGATGATGGTCTTGGAGCTCATCAATCCTCTTAGTGCGCTAAGAAGGCAGATCCGAGGACGTCCAATCGCAGCAGCCTTGACCCAGCCTCTGGAGCTGGAGCTGCCGTCTCCTGCTTCTTCCTCTAGAAAGGAGTTTTCAGGGAGCCAGATCCACTCAAGCATTTGCTGATTGTCTGCCCTCCAAGTTAACACACTCATTCTTTCTTCCCCCAAATAGTGGTGGGCTTCTTCTTAAAGTAGTTGAACAGGTGCAATTTTATTACTATTAATTTTGCGAGTGAAAAAATGCCCTGGATGCAGCCAAGCTCTGACAAACTGGGCATGAGTCAGTCACAAACACAAGCAGTTCAGTGGTGAGGACTGTGTCTTTTACTAATGCCATTA